TGCCTTGGCTTTTAGCCGTTAATGAATTTAAAGTAGTGACAGTCTGCSAAGATTTACCTGACAGAGAATGTCCTTGCTATTGAGGTGGCCAAGGATTGATTTCATCATAGTGTGGAGGAGCGGCAGGGAAATCCCAATCTTGGATTTTCCTTTTCTAGAAAAAAAGGGGGGAAAATGGTGTAGAAGTGTTAAAATTACATCTTGACGCTTTATCCCTCCCCCAGCATCTGTTTTATATTTAACTTATAATCTAACTGTATATTTGCAGACTCGAAACCTAAATGAAACCATTTGAAATTATTTGAAGTGTGGTGTTTCAATTGACCTGATCTAATTTGGGGTTTATAAATTCACCAGGYTTCTTGAGATTAAAGTGTTCTGTCTTCACTTAAGCATGGAAATATTTTCAAGCCTCAAAAATTATCCCACAATGGGGAAAATGTCTCCTGCCCTGCTCTCCTCATGATCTGAGGAAATGAAGAATGGAGTCACAAGATTTGAAGCAATTCACTTATCACACTTTACTAAGTTACAGTTCAGCTACAGTAGTTGACCATGTGCCTGTTGTTAGCACAACAGTTGCTTGATTTCCAGAGCTAGCACCATGTCCTCTGTGCAGCTACTCCAGAAAGAGCTTCTTCTGCAGCAGTCGCAGAAAGCCAGCTCATGTCCCTGTGCATGGTCTCCTTCCGAGGGCAGGAGAGGTTATTTCTGTTCATTAGAGCTCCAAATTTGTTGTCAATCTGTAAGAAATAATAACTAAACTCCATGTGGCTTTTCTTCTCTTCAGTGCTAGGTTATTGCAGGAGAGGTGTTTGTGCTGTCACCCAAAATTTGGTGATGAGGAGTTACAATCTCCAAAACCAGGGAAGCAGGATGTGCCCCAGGCYGCTGTCTGCCTGAGTGTCACCACAGCACTGCTCCCTCCAAGCCAGTTTTCTGATTGAATTGGGAGGCTTTCAGGAAGGATATTCAACCACTTCCAGTCTTTATGGGCTCTTGCACCCCAGAATACTTCTCAGCAGTCTGGTTTTTCATTTCAATTCACATGTGTAAACCTACCATCAGTGGAGCGCTTTGCCACTGGTTGTGCTACACATGTTTAAGTCTCTCGGTTTTCACTCACAAGCTGATACATTGATGCCCTGGTCATTTGAGTTGTTTTTCGCATGTTTTTGGTGCATCTTTCCCTGGGGTTATTTCTTCTACCAGTTCTCCAGGGTGCCTTCTTCTCCTCAGGTGAGATGCTCTTCCTTAGGTGTGCATAAGCAGTTCCTGTGTCAAGGGACCTGGACCCTAAACTCAGCCTTCCCAAAACTTTATTGTTATTTGAGGCAGTGCTTTAATGTTGGACCAACCTTCAGTTTAGAAGTGGATTACATCAATCATTCCTTCCCCAACTTCTCAAAACCAAAAAAAAAGCAAGATCTGTCCAAAGGCAAAAAAAAAAAAAAAAAAAAAAGCCTCCAGAATAGGAGGGTGTTGCTTTTTCTAGCCAAAACCCCAGGAAAATGATGATAAACTTCCCATCCAGCCCCCAGTGGATTTGTTGGCCATATCCTCATGACTTTCCAGAGTGGCCCCTAGGTTTGGTGTTTCCTAGCTGGCTCTTAATCTTTATCCTCTGCGTTTCACTTTGGCCCTCTATACCGCTCTTCAGAGGCGCCCGGCTCTGACTCTTGATTACAGGGAGTGGTGGCAATGGCAGCTTGGGAGAAAAGAGAAAAACAGGGCTGTCATTTTTTTATTATTATTATTTCATGTTATTTGGCTTTCTGGAGGCCTGAAAGCTMCAGGAGATGCTAGAAGAGTGAAGCGAGCTGCAGAAGGGAGCAAAAATCACGCAGCCAAACTTATAATCCTGCAGCAATTCTATTCCCATAATGTGCAGAAATACCTTTGTGCAGGTTGTTAGCTGCTGGGGCAGCATTTAGGCATGTGGGATAACCTGATTAGAGAATCAAAGAAAACCCTGTTAGCTCCACAGGCCAAATCCTGCCTTAGAGCAACCTGATGTCAAATGGGTGTGAATCAAGGCAGCTTTCCCTTTGGCATCTCCTGGTAACACCTTGAAGAGAAGTGTTTGAGCCAGGGTTCTAGCAGGGAAAGAGGCTTAAGCAAATATACTCCCAGACAGGGAGTGAGCTGGAGTCTGAAACTAATGACTTTGTTTTTCCTTACTGGTACAGACTTGGAAGGATGAAAAGAATAAATTTCTCAGGACAGATTTTCAGGTTGTATAGAAAGTCTAGTTGGGAGTTGGGGAACTTAAAATGCTTGTCTTGCTTTGAAACAGGAATGTCAAGCAGTGCAAATGGACTAAGATTTGAGAGCAGAAGACTTGAATTTTCCAAAGGCATAATCCAGAGGCAGTGTTGTCTGTTGTCTTGGTCGCTGGAAAGCTCCCACYGAAGTCAGTCGCTTGTGTTATGCAAGATGGCAAACAACATAATTATAGTGACCCCTTGCAGCCTCACACTCTGTGCATCTAAAATGTGGGAGCAGGAGTTGTATTAGAGCTGTAGTGAAAGCCACACTGGGAACATGGGGACTCCACATCCCCTCAGTTGCTTGTGTTATCAGCTCTAGCCTGTGCAGCCCTGGTTTGCTGGGCCCTRGGCTGATTCCCCTGTCACATTGCTGGGTGAATTACAGTTGCTGATTCCTGCTCTGTCCAAAGTATCAGATATATTTTCCTCAGTTTTGCTTCGTTTTGCTTCCTGGAGTCCTGTTGCATCGGCTGTTGTAACAGGCCCTGCGAGCTGCCTTAGCGGATTAGCTTGTGATGCACAGGTAAGCTGTGGCTTTCCTGCACGTGTTGTGGGTGTTCAGAACTTACTGCAACTCCAAAGCGATCAGGAAAGTTCATGGGGAAACATCCACTCAAGGTTCTTAAATGCAGAGGTGGCAGCTCCGGCTCAGGAAGTCCCTCAGCCAGAAGTCGCTGGAGACGGGGAGCGTAGCCGAAGGAATTACTGTGTTTTGCTTGCCCCGTTCCCTTGGCCTCTGTTGCTGCCCAGTGTTGGAAACAACAAGCAAGAAGCAACTTAGTGATGCAAACATTTGGTACCAACGCATATTTAGAAGCTGTCGTAGAAGATGCATTAGTGAGGGGCACAGTCCTACTTCGGTGTCTGCAGATACGCAGCATTCCCTCCTTGGCAATCCAAGGAACAGCGTGAGTATGGACTGAGATGATGTGATCTGCTTATGCAAGACCAAGTAGTAAATTTGCCAGGTTATTCCTCCAAGGAGAAAATTTTTTGACCTTGCTTTTTCTGGCATGCTAGCTGCTGTTATAATGATGATGATGGTGACAGCAACCAGACAGAAAGGCCAGCAATAATTCTTTCCTGCCCATTATTACAAGGCAGAAAGCAAAACCCAGCCTGAAACCAACCCTAGTCTGGCTGTGTTCTCTTTACAAATGTGCTAGGCAGTTCTCATATGGGTTGAAATTCAGGACTTTTCATGCTGACCTTTCCAAAAAARTAATCATTTTGATCTTCTGATGGGAACTTGTGTATTTATATATAGTTTTGAGGCAGTAAGTCTATTTGTGTCTTAATAGTGATTTGCAGCCCAGMAGAAATGTCCAATAGCGTATGTCTGAGTAGAGAAGTAACCTCTCTGAGCTTCTGGGTGATTCATCTCCTGACAATACGTTTTGGCTGTACATGTAAGGACTGGATCTTGCCCCTGAGAGTATTGGCTCAAAAGGAGCAATAACAGTGCGGTCAGTCAAAGCATTGCTTTTCCTGAGAATTTTGTTGCGTGAGGAAGCAGAAGAGGTTTAGCCTTYTTCTGTTTGTCAACATGATCTGCCTTTCAGTAGCTTTTTGTATTTTCTGTCCAATTCAATCTTTYCATTGCTCTTCTCTTCCTTTTCTATATAAGCCAACAATTGTTGACTTTCTGCTTCATGCAAGATTCATTTGTTCTTAACGTTATTTAATAACTCCAGACATATCAAACAAGGGTAGTGAGTGAAGTTTTCTTTCCCAAAGCCCAGTGAAATAAGCCAACTGATCTTGCCACAGATTTATTGTTTGCATCTGTCTGTGTTGAATGCACCTTCAGTTCACAGTGTGCATCCCTCAGGTTTGTTTGCAAGGGCATTTTGCACAACTGAARGGCTGGTGTGCCCCACAGAGCCATTTGAAACAAAATTACAGTGGTATTTTTGTAACTGACTGCAGGGGCAAATGAGGTTGGAATTAGGTGAGTCATTCAGTGGAGCCCATTTGAAAGGTGGGGTTTTGGCTTCCGTGCTTCAGGAACAAGCTGGTATGTAAAGCCCCACGAGCCAAGGAGCGTGCCTCTGGAACTGATGTTGGACAGTCATTATCTTAAACATCTGAGGCCAGAGATAAATGAGCACTTTAGGTCATCCTGAACTCCTGTCSTCATAGGGCTTTTCATCACAGACACAGCTTTTTCTCCCTAGGCTCAACAGAAGCCTCCCTGGTGGGAGGGAAAGATAAGATTTCCTTGCAAGGCAGGAGAGGCAGATTRCTGGAGAGCTGGACTGCCAGAGCAGTTAAGGGGTCTCTGTATAGCCCCAGGAGTGTGAGCTCAAGCTTTGCTCTGACACATCCTGGAAGTTGTCTGAAATCTACTCAGTTGCACAAGGTGCACAGCAAACGTGCAGACTGTTACGTGCTACTTGCTCATGTGCTGCTGGCTCCACGCAGCAGCTGCTGTCATATCTCACATGCAGTCACCTGGTGAGCCATCTCCGATCGTTTATCAGGCCCCGCTCTTTTCTCAGCAATTACTCTGCTTTTTGTTCCTGCTACAGACCTGACCTGAACGTGTGTTGGTGTCATAGTCTTTGGGGACTGTACTGCACTTGTCTAGACTGTACTGCACTTATCTGGAAGAGATGAAAAGAAAGTATCTAAAGCTTCTCTGTAGACCAGCAGCCTCCAACCCATCTGACCTTTATGCATGTCCTGCTGCCRCACTGTTCATCTCTGCTGTGTGTGTTTTCTTTGCAGAACACGTTGGAGCAATGCAGCGTCTGCGCGAAGCCCATCATGGAGAGAATACTGCGAGCTACTGGGAAGGCCTATCATCCCCACTGCTTCACCTGTGTGATGTGCCATCGCAGCCTGGATGGGATCCCCTTCACYGTGGATGCCGGTGGGAACATCCACTGCATCGAGGATTTCCACAAGTATGGCCCTACCTGCTCTCCATGGCTTTGCTTATTGTCTTTGCCTTTTGTTCCTAAAAATCCTCCTTTATTCTGTATCCGGAGAAATCTGAGCACTCTGCCACTTCTAGGACTCTTAAGTACATGGAGCTTTGCTCCAAGCCTGCGCACTGTGACATACAAGATTAATTGGTTACTGGCTGGTGCTACTTGATCTCTGTTTTTCTTAGGTCTGAATTTATAGATAATCCTCTGTATTCTCTGTTCTGCATTCCCTCCTGCCTCGCTGCACCCTGCAGCATGTGCACATTTCCCTGTGCTGGTTGTACCTGCACTTCCACATCAGTGTCTGCCCCCTTTATTTTCTCAGAGCAATTAAGAGAGGTCCTGCTCAGTTGCCCTCTGCAGGTGTTTGCTTTCAGGCTAGAGGGATCTAGCTGGCCGTGGGATGCTCACAGCTACTCTTGTTTCTTGTTGCTAATTAGCTTTTTAAAAGTGCTAAAAATACAGCCCTGGTAATAATTTATAGTGAAACTGCTATTTAAGGTAAGTTGAAAGGTACAGTTGCAYGTAGCTTCTGTCACTGCCACCACAACCACCCCCATCATCACAGCTAATCTAAGGAAGACAGGTAGATATAATCAGAGCGCAAATGTTTCCCCTTCATGGAAAAGACAGATGCATTACACCCCTCAATTAAAAAAGAAAATCAATCCTGACAAATGTGAGTTTACATCTCAACCACTTATCTCTTAATTTCTAAGAGGGTAGACTTAATTAGAGCCTCGTGACATCAGCGTGTGGGCCTGAAAGCTCAAAGAAGCAGACTGACTTGAGGGAAAAGAGCAGCCGCAATCAGGCAGCGCGYTGAACTCCAACACGGGAATGTTCTCTGTGGCTCAGATGGGCCGGGTTAATTGGCAGGTGCTGAAGYGGCTGCGTGTTGTCCTGCTTTCTGCAGACCGTGTGCAAGGGAAATTCACTCATGAGCAGATGCTGAAAAGAAGGCTGAAACATCAGTCAGGATCCCAAAGGGTTTTCCTCATGCCCCGCATAATTTGGAGACTTCTCCTTCCCCAAGCACTGCAAGCTAAGGACTCAGATACCTTTAGAAGAAAGGATGGAGCAAGAGCTGATATCCCACCTTGAAGTGTTTTGGCCATGACTGAATCTGTACCTTAGGGGTCTTAGTTGGAAGTTGGAAGGTTGTCTGTCAGTCTGAAGAAAGGACACCAATCTGTGAGTGAAAGACTAGGGGAAAGATCATGGGAATAGCCAGAGACTTGGTTGGACACCCAGAATGCCTCTAGCTGCTACCACGCAGTCCCCAGCACGTGAACCAGCCCCTTTTTAACTGGCTGGGGAGGAAGAGCCTCCCCAGCCTGCAGTCCAGAAGCCACTTGGTGACCCCCTGAGCTCAGAGCCCCTAAGCACCTCCAAGAGCCCTGATATCAGTAAGAGTCATCTGCAGTTCACTGTCGTTGGTGTTTGGCCCATAATGAATTAACCACAGTGGCCTGGACGGAGAAATGTTAAAGCAGTTTTAAGCACCACGTTTGAGCTAAATATCCCAAGGAAGCGCCTGCATGAAGCAGCATATAATTAAGTGCGATTACAGCTCCGGTCATATCATGATCCATTTAAGTTATTTTTCAGAGCACTCGCTACAGCCACTGTTAAATTCATTTTTTCGTTAGATCGCAGCTACACAGACATCTTTCATCTGCTGCCAGTGAAATTAATATTTTTCTTTATTCTTGCTACAGATAGATTTTTTTTTTTAAAGCTAGTTAATTCTGGGGTGGTTCATGTGACAGGCTGGGTGGTGGAGTCAATCTTTCCTAGGCCTTTCAGAAGAAAAGGGCCTTTGATCTCCTCATGTTCTGATGTTTGCTRTAAGAATTGCCCTCTGTCACTCCATAGCCCGTGACCCTGGCTCTCATTAAATAGCAACGGATTCTGCAGGTARAGGTTTCTTTCTTGTAAGCAGAATTTGCAGTCAGAGAACTGCTACCCATAGGATTTTCACCAAAACAGTGAATAAAGGTTCATTACAGGCTGATTCCATGTATTCCCAAACATGTGGGAGCAAAACCAGAGCTAATACAGAGCACATATAGATTAGCCAGAAGGACATACAGTGGAGAATATAGGATGGAAAATAAAGGTTTGTGCTTCTGTTGATCTCTGTGCTCACCCTTGAGCCAGTCCTTCATACTGCTAGTGACTGGAACGGCATAATCCTGACCTAGGCTAACTGTAGGAAAGGGAGCTTTGGTGTCCTTGCACCCAGACCCGTTGCCTTCCAAGGCTGGGTAGTGTGTTAATGAGTAACTAAGTTGATTCTAGGTGGGAAATGCAGCTGGTCAGGTTTGCCCTGATGCTTCCTGTGCATAAGCCCTGTGTGCTTGATGGGAACTGTGCTGAGGGGTTTAAAATGGATGGATGGAAACGCCCAAGAAGTTAGAGTGGGACAAGTCTTTTTGGTCTCACAGTTAAAACTTCTGWATTTTTGTTCCATCTCCAATTTTTAATATTTCAGTGGGGATTTGTTTGTATTGTTTTGTTTTTTCTCCATGCGGTGCTTTTGGAGCCATTCATCTTTCCTAGTCGTTAGGTGTTCCATGGGCTTTCCTAAAGTTAGACTAAGATTGAGCGTAAGGGTTGCAGGAATGAAGAGATGTCAGAGTCATGGGCCACTCAGTAAACGGTAAAATTGTTACTCAGGGCAAACAGAATATGCTTTTCTGCTTCTCCTTATAGTCTGAAAAATGTTCTTTAATATCGTGCAAGACGCAAATTGAGCTGTAAGACTCAAATGCTTCTTTCTGACACTGAGGATGCAATTATGTGTGGATGCAAACTGTGATATATGCATGCATGTGTATTTGTATATATGGCCACGTTTCTGGCTTGTTGGTGCAGTTGGCAAAGACTTCAGCTCTGAGCTTGAGAGTGACTAGGACCATCTCTGCTCTCTTAAAGGAAATTTGCACCGAGATGTTCAGTGTGTAAGGAGCCTATCATGCCAGCCCCAGGACAAGAGGAGACTGTACGCATTGTTGCCTTGGATCGGGACTTCCATGTCCAGTGCTACCGGTGTGAGGTTAGTATTCTAATCATGAGAGGGCAAGATAGCAAAAGTTGGCTTAATTTCATCACAGTCTCATGTTACCTACAGTACAGGCATACCCTGTTGTAACAACGGCTCTAAAATCAAATTACTTCATTGACTTCAGCATGCAAGGAATTTTTCTTCATTTATATCAGTGCAAATGAGAAGAAAATCAGGTCCCTTGTTTATAGCAGGTTCATTAGGAGAGCAAGGGAATGTGACTCAGTTAATTAGAGCTTAATATTTGAGAACATCATAAATTATAGCTTGGACACAAACGTTGCTCATGTTTATGTTCTTAAAATGAATGCTAATGCATGTTAGAATTTGAGCAAGATTGTACAGGAAACTCGGCATATGGCTCTGGGTTGAAGAATTTTAATGGACACATAAACATGATCATTCTTGTTTTGTGCAGTGCTTTTTGTGCCACTTTCCTGTTCGGTTTCATTACGCACAACATATAATTTTGACGGTAAGAATCTGAAGACAAAGAAGAAAAATCACCTTAAAGCAATTAACATGTGGTAACAGCTGTGTTAAGGAACCTTCAAGAATTTTTCAGTGCAAGTGTTACTTCTTGGATAATATATCAGCCAGATGGCAGGGAAAGAAAATGAGACCAAACATATTTCTTATCACAGTTGCAGATTTTAATAACTTTAACTGGAAAGGATGAACTAAGGCGTAAAGGTCTAGGCTGAGACTTGAGACATCTGGTTTGATTCTCACTTCTGACATTGTTTTCCAGGGTACATATCAGCCCATTGCTTGGGCCCAGTTTTTAAAGACATCCCTACCCTCAGTTTTGCAGAGCTTAAATTGTAATGTGGCAGGTACCAACCTTGGCTGATGAGTCCCCACCTCATCTTGCCCCATACACCCGAAYAGCAGAGGTAATTGCAGGGGGGAGCACAAGACATGGACACTCGCACAACTGCATGATGTCCAAGGCAGGTTCCAGGACTGTACATTATTAGCTTGGAGCATCATCTCACAGGCAGTTAAATGGCTGTGGAGCAGACTTGGAACATTCATGTGCATTTGCTGGCTAAGAAGTCATTGCACCGTGACCTCTGTGTAACACAGAGGTTCCCAAAGGAGCTGCAAGTTAGTAAGACAATAAAAATCAGACSTAGACTTCCAGATCAGTAAGGCAGGGTAGTCCCATGTGGCACAGTGTCTGAAAATCCTTTTGCATTTTGGCCTTCACTATCATGTGCCTCAACCTGCTATTTCAAAAGGAATGATTTTTTTTTTTCTTTATTTCCACCTCTTTCTTGTCAGGTATATTTACAAACAARGATATATGGTGAAGGGGGATGGCCTCCAAGAAAATGGCAATCCCCCAGGCCTGTCAGAAATTCTTGGATAAATGACTGCCTGATTACACCACGAGGGCAAATTCCTGAAGGCAAATTTCCTAGCAGCTGTATTTAGCTGTTTAGATTCTAAGGTCTCTGGAGCAAGATTTGGGCCTTCTAGTTGGGGTGTCTTCTGCAGCTGCCCCGGGGAAATTCCMCTTTTGGTCACACCCTTGTGGCCCAGCTGCGGTATGAGTGCAGGTGACAGGTCTGCTAGAGCTTTGTGTGTTGACTCGCCCAAAGGAGATTACCTGTAGTCAGGTAATAGTATCACACTTCTTTAACAAGGATACTTTTTTTTTTTTTTTTTGCATTAATATAAATAGGTGCGAAGTTTGATATTTTCTCTAGTTCTAAAGACCTTTCCTTCCTCAGAAATGTGAAGGGAAAAATCTTGTTTTATTTTCAATTGGATTAAGTTTAGCAGAGAGTTCAGGAACCCATCTTCTCTGCGGCATTGTCTCTTATCAGGGAATGGCTTAATCATGAAAGACATCACACACCTCAGCTTCATACTTTACGCTGACTCACACTAGATCCTGTTACAAGGTGAAGGATGAGAGAGTTTCTTTGACTCACAAATTCTTTAATATACTTGTTCTTTTCTGTTTTTTAACTTTGTTTTTTTTTCTGTTTGCTTATCAATCCAGGACTGCGGTGGCCTCCTGTCTGAAGGGGACAATCAGGGCTGTTACCCTCTGGATGGACACATCCTTTGCAAGACCTGCAACTCAGCTCGGATCCAGGCTCTTACTGCTAAGGCCAGCACTGATCTCTGAGTATCAACTGGGACCCTCCCCATTCTGCCTGTTGGGAGAATTGCACAAGCTTTGCATGATTTCTTTCCAGCCTAGGGCCTAAGTCTTTGTTTAAATTTTTTTTTAGAAAAAAAGGTAAAACTGGAAGGTTTTGAAGCAAGAGGGCAGTTTGAAAGGCCGCGTTCAGATCGCTTGTGATAGGCACCTAATTTTGATGTGACTATTTACATAAGTGGTGAGTCAGACCACCTGCTATCTCTGCATTTAAAGGAAGGAAGGGGTCACAGCACTAAAGTTAGGTGCCTATGGAAGGAGGTCTGAACACAGTCCTAATGATATTTCTGAAAAGATGTTTGATTCCTGACTCCTAAGAGGCACGTGATGGTGTCTGAGCTAGCTTCATCTCCCAGGTTCTCTTGAGAACCTGGCCCAGTTCTCTCTGAAGTTTTAGGGACCTTCCCATAAACTTCAATGGGAACTGGATGATCAGCAGAAGTAACTCCACTGTAACAGAAGATGTAAAGCCAGGGTGAGAGGAGAACCACATCTCTCATCACTACCAAAATCATGCAACTTCAAACACACCTAAGAGTGTTGATGTGATCTCATATCTTTAGAACACAGATTTGTTATCTACATATTTTTCTTAGGCCCTTTCTTGTCTCCATTCCCTTCCAGTTTGATAAGTTCTTTTTTTCCCTTTTCTTATGAAATGATATTTTGCTACTGCGTAAATTTATTTGCTAGTGATGCTTCCAATTCACAGATGTATGAGCAATCACAGAAGGATGTGAGCTTGCACTCAGTATACACAGGCACACACACTACACACACATACAAAATGTGCTTTTGATTTGCTGGAGGTATAACGCCAATTTTGCCTGTTGAGAAGGTCTTTTAAGGATCTGGAGCTGCAAATATTTTTTTTTTTTTAAATCTCAGTGGTTTCAAGGAACTTTACTACAAAGAATTGCAGTGCAAAGAGGTGCTCAAAAAGTTCTTAGGGGATTCTTTTACATGTCCCATTATAGCAGACCCAATGGCAGTGCTGGTTCCTGGGCAGATAAGCAATGGGGTGGTCTTCCATCTCCTGCTGACTACAAGGAGTGGATTCCCATCAGCTGTACCAGGAATTGAATCATCCTTGGGATAGTGAATGAGGTTTTTGTCTGACTGAGGCATATATGATTTGGAAGATATGTTTTAAAAAAAATTATATATAGTTTGTGCTGTAGTTCAGTTTTTATCTGAAGAAAGCTAAAGGAGATGTCCAAAAGCAGGATTTATTTCTCTCTTTCATTTTAGTTACTTATTACTTCTGYCTGGTGAAATGTCATTGCAGCAAAGGGTTAGGCCAGAAGCAGCAGTTTTATCCTCTGCCCAGGATTAATACCTATACCATGGCAAATAAAACCTGGGCACATGCATTTTTTTTCTCTTCTCTCATTGTTAGTGGGGTTTTTTTGAGTTTTGTTAATTAAAAATAAATTAAAATCCATGGCTTATTCTGTGCAGCTGTAATACTCTTGTTCATGAAACCCATAATAACTAAGGTGCAAATTATACAGTGAGGGAGTAATTTTCATATCACTGAATTGACATTAATATCTTATTTGCAGATATAATCAAAGAAAAATACCTTTCTATGCGCTTAACAAATTAAGAAGCAGAACCGAAACACTTGCAAACTGATTGACCATATTAGTAACAAACTGGCATTTTTCAAGATTAAGTTCTAAAAATTTCTCTTCTGTGCACCCCCTGAAAAGCAATGAGGATGTGGTGCATTCTTCTTTAATCTCTGTAACAGAAGCCTGAAATACCTATTAATGTTGGGAAAAAAAAATAAAATACATGAGGTGGACGGATAGGAAATGAAGAGGAAGAACTGAGATACTGCATCTCCTGCAAATAGTGCCTTTCAGTTTAAGCACTAACCTTTATGGGAGAGTATTATGAAATGTAATAGCTGTAGCTGACAACAGTGAGTTCAGATACAGAATTACGGGTCTGAAACCTGTCCCTTGCAGCGTTTGTATTTTGGCAAGCTCCGCTGTTGCAAGGGAGATTCCCAAGTGAAACAGTAAGCAAAAGAAATGGTTTTCCACCATAGTGCCTGTGCTGAAGCGGTTAGCCTTTTTATACTGGATTTCTACCCTGGCCTTTAATAATTCTACTCTCTCAAAAATAAGCAAGTGGGGTTTTTTTTGGTTCTTTTTTTTTTGTGGGTGTTTTTGTTGGTGGTGGTTTTTTTTGTTTGTTTTGTTTTATTTTTTTTTATACCATGACTCCTGCAGATCCTATCTGGGCTCCCTAAGTATGGCACATAAGGTACTTTTGAGCTCACTTTGTTACATGCAGTGCCTACAACCACCAGTCAAAAACTCTTACAACTGTTGAGCAAATGGAATTTGAATTAGCCCTGCAAAAATAAGGAAGTTCGGAGCTGGGATTGTAACTTCTACCATCTCCTTGTAGAGGATTTTACCCCTCTGGAAGGGAGGGATGTGATGCACACAGTCACAGAACAAGCCAGTCAGGCAGCAAACACTGCTCTGAACATCCTTATTCTTGCTGATYGTAGATCAGGTGGCTGATGAGTCTCTTCGGAATAACACTGTGCAACYTGGTGGGAACAAACTGTTGTAGCTGCATGCAGAACACGGTCTAGATGAGAGATGGGGTAGAAATGATGTGAGGTAAAATAACCCAAACTAATAGTTTTGGAACTCTCTTCTCTCTCTCAAAGAGTGTATTGATATGTAGGCTTGCCATTTCTGTGTGAAAGTTAAGGGCCACTAGGACATCTGGATCTGAATGTCCCTGTTATTAAGTGCTGAGGTGGTTGGACTGGTGTGCAGGGGGTGAGAGCTATTTTTTTCAAGCATTAAGTACACTATGGGTGGAAGCAGTTTGACAAAGTTTGAGTGGTTCTGTTGTTTGATGTTTTGTGGCTGCTGTCGATTCCTGGCATATCTGGGCAAAGGTACTATCATGCTTTTGCTTTCAYTCCTGAAACATTAAAGTCAACCATCCATTGGAATGAGCAGGTATCCAAAATACTCCTCTTCATTTTCTGTARTGCATGTGATTTGGCTTCAAAAATTGCTATAAATGCACTTGAAAGGGACTGCACATATGTACATGTAGTGTAAAGGCTCTCATCAACCACCTGTGTATGGAAATCTCCCCTTAATGCATCAGGATTTAATTAGGAGATTATGGTGGACATGTCTCCATTGCACCGCAGTTAAGAACCACTGGGATATTGCTTCATCACGGTCTTTATCATGTATTTATTGTATATCCTCATTTATCTGTTCCAAAGAAGGAGTCTTTTTGCCAAAGAGACCTTGTTTTTTTTAAGATGCGCCTCTTAGCTCTGAAAAAAAAATCACATGATCTGTGATTATGGTAACGTCCAAAATGTTCCCTTCAGAAAGAATTGGAAGATCATGCAGATGTTTCTGTTTGAGTCTGCAGATTTTTTTGCTTTTGCTGCTTTGGCTTTTCCTAGTGTTTGTTGGCAAGTAGAACTTGATCCCATGTTTTGTGTGGCCAAGTAGGGCCTGGGATCGGGTTCTAATTTAGCAAAATATTTAAGCCCATGGGGTTTGTTTAGGCGTAGGCTTCAAGTTGTTGCATGGTGCGACCTAAGCCATGGTTTTACAGTCGTTAATACCAGACCAGTTCCATATTACCGAGTCGTGCAGATCTGATCAGGGCAGGATGTGGGCACAAATTGCCCGGAACGCCTGATACGGCTTCAGTGTCGCCTTTAGGCCGACTGCAGGAGGACAAGTAGCTGATCCAGCCTAACGCATGTGCAGCGAGAGGGTGAGTTAGTACAAGATGAGGGCTCTGYGTCAGCTGGCTGTGGCGCTTCCCATGCGTCACAAGTTGCCCTGCAGCCAGATTTACTGTATCTTTGAACCGTGGCTTTAACCATCTACTTAAACTTTCTACAGAAGATTGGGTTGCCTTGGTTACGGCCCAATCCTTAAGCATATCCCCAAGGCTAACACTAGTGTTTTGTGAATGTGACGGTTTTGTTTTCACTTACTTTAATCGTTGTCTGAATGTTGCTTTTAAAAACAGAAGGCAACATCATTGCTTGGCCTATCAGATAATGCACCTTTAATTCTGTTTTTTGTTTTTTTAATATTTTAATTCTTAGATTTTTATCACAGCTGCAAAACACTTGGGCAATGACTTAATAATAGAGGTGTGGGCATAGCAAAGTCTTTGTCATAGCAAACTCTGCTCTGAGCGTTCAACCTGGCATCAGAAGCAGGACTCAAGTGAGACACAGGCTATACATTGACTGCCTATCAGTAAATTAGCTTGGAGAGAATGAGGATGAGGTGTCTTTYAGAGACACGGTGGGTCTTGAGGAGAATACATCATAGCTGAGATCTTCTCAGTGAACCTCRTATGGTCAGTCAACCCTAGCCTGGRCTTGATAAATGCTTGATTTTACATTACTGTTCCTCTTAATTTTGAGAAACTCCAGCAGATGAGGGATAACTGGGCTGCAGAAAAGGTGCGTAAGGGAAATTCTGTGTCTGCATCCTCCTTAGTGTCAGAGAGAGCAGCGTTAGATACCTGGTGCCTTAGCTGAAYGGCTCAAAATGGATTTGAGCTTTTAATTGCTTTTTATTGATACCTGCTTCTTGCCATTGATTCAGCATGTTGAGTTGATATTTGGTCACTAAGCTGTGCTGATTACGCACTCTGTAGATTTGAATACTATGAGGGCTAGCAGAGAAAAATGTACCAAGGAATTTCACTGTGGTGAAATTCTCAATAGAAAACACTAGTGATGGTAATTGAGGGTTTGTTGCCAAAGGATAGCAGGAACTACTTAGTACTATCTAGAGGTTAGTAAGTACAAATTAAATACAAATTACAGAGAGAGCTGTGAGAACACTATTTCCAGTCAGAGCTGGTCACAGTTTTTACACTAAATTATGTGATATCAAAAGGGCCATTTTTTTAATTAGAAGTTGTCTTGTTTTTGCAATGTTATCCACAACAGTTTTTTTCTGCTATTACAATTAAAACCATATTAAGAATTTTTATCTAAATAGATTTCAGAATAGTTACCAAATAGTTTCATTTCTTAAAACCCATGTCTTCTTTCTTGATTTTTGTAGTTCTTGARTTTCTTTTGCTGATAAAGTTTCTGTCGTAATTTCAAAAAATATTTAGATAACATACTATTTAAAAAGAAACTATCTAGCTTCTTGGAAAATGATTCAGTATTGAAACTGGTAAAATTGGACCTTTAAAACTTTTCACARGTTGTTTTCCCCTATTTTTGTCTAGTTTTGCTAACTTTGAAGTCCCTATTGCCTTTGTTAGAACTATCTAAATAATGTGACTCTTCTTAAAACAACAATGTTACTTCTATTGAGTCCATTTCTCTTTTCCATCTTAAAGCCATGGAGCGGCTGCCTACAAGGAGTGTCCATGTCTTTTTCTGTACCAATTGCAATTTTTTCATATTTACTCCGAAATTAGTGAGTAGAAGCTTCCTATGGAAGCTTCCTATGGCTGCTGCCATGAATATCAAGAGATATTGATTGAACTTCAATCTCCACRTATCTGTCTGGATCAGAGAATGGCATTTCTCCTCAAACACTTGTAGAAACCCTACC